GGATAGTATTAGGAAACAAAAGGTATACCATTATGTATCCAAAATCTATCTTTTATCTTACCCTAATACTGATATCCGTTAGTTTACCATTATTCTTTTCCGATATGCATATCGGGTAAATAACGGGTCAATAAAGATATATTCGACCTGTGATAATTAGAGCAAATAGATTCGTAATAATATTAATTTTAAATATTAGTTAATATCATAGTATAAATATATAAAATACAAAAAATATATTTGTATAAAACTATAAACTATACTTAAAATAAAAATATTATAGTTTAACTGATGAACTTTGTTAATAAATATACGGTGCTAGAAGCCTATACTAGACATGTTTCAATTTTATAATAGCAATATCGGTTCTATAAATTTGCCAAATATTTTTTTGAAAAACCTTTTGTATAAAAAGTTGATGTATTTTAAAGCTTACTATTGTTTTTATATGGTTTATATATAATTACCATATGTATCAATTTTAAATAACCTTTAAAATGCCATAACAAAAAGCAATATTTTAAAGATCTGACTGGTATAACTTAACTTTGTTCTTCATAATAATCTCTACATTTAAAAATATTGCATCTATAAAAAGTTGATGCGTTTTAAAGTTATATTATTTTTATTTCCAAGTATAGGCTTCTAACATCAAATTTAGAAGTTGGAGATAGTTTATGCGTATTTCTCTAAATATAGCATTTAATAATTACTATAAATTTTGAATTCAACTCTGACAGATTTTCTCAATTTATTCAGAACTGAGGTTTTCTTTATTCTTTCTACAGAAAGTTAACGGAATATGGAATGGTATTTTAAATTAATATATAACAAACATTATTACTGTTTCAATATCTCGTAAACAATGCATTTCTTCAAAACATCACGCTGGAGAAATAAATAACAATTTTTATTGTTCTTATGTAGAGATTTAATCTAATATAGTTTTTAATTTAGCTTTATCTCTTTCGGTTGATTCATTGTAAGTGAAAATACCTGACAAGAAGCAAGGGATCACTTTAATGATTTCTAGAACCTTTTCACGTTAATAGTTAAAACACAAGTAGACAACAGATTTTTACATTAGTCATGTATATAATTTTACCAAAAATTCGAGATTATTTTTTTTATCGCTGTTTTTGAGTTGAGTCCTATAATTACATTATAGGCAACTACCTAAATTCGTTATATTTGCAAAATTCATTTAATAATGTTTTTAACATCTGTCTGGTTCGGTTAAGTTCTCGTAAGACAAAATTCATATACCGTATTTGCGCGTAATAGCGGGCCGGGCGTTATTTGAGCCATGGCCCGAATTAAACTTAATTAAGACCGAAATTCGAAATTACACCCCTGCGCGTTATTACGAGCAAATACGGTAGTTAATTTGCGCGATGAAGATATCAGCATCTCGCGCGTGGGCACATCTCTAACATTTGTCCAGTTTACTGCCTAGACCAAGCCAAAAAATTTTCAGCTTAGATTTCTGTAATTTATCCAATTACATGATTCCCATTTCATGGCCAGTTTCATTACAACGGTCTTAACAACATCCGTTTTTTTTTTTTTTGCATAACTGCTTCCAAGTTTAATTCTAATATTAACTATGCATCTGACGCTGAAATTAGGAGTCCTAATTTAAAAATATAAGCACTGCTAAAATCCACATATACTCTTTAATTACCAATTCTAAAGCTAAATCCTAACCCAACCTAAAAAAAAAAAAAAAAAAGCGAAAAAAATTTCATATCAAAATAAGCCCAAATTTCAGCATTAGCAGTGACAATTGTTTTGTTTACATAAATTTGGTCTTCAGATATAGAGATAAGTACCACTTGTAAATTCGATATTTCTTTTACAAAGACTTACACTTTATATGCAATACTACAATATATTCGATGAATACCGTTGGCATTCCCCGAAGAAATAATAACTGCATGATCAAACCCGGGCATTCTTCACCGCTTACTCGACCTAATTCTTAAAAGTACTCAGAGTATAGCGATATTGATCAAGGCTTCGATATTTTATGCAGTGGCCATTTATAAATCTTGAAAACACAATACAGATTCTGACAAACATGAGAAAATTAGATTAAATTTTGATAGTACATACGGTTAGCATAGACTTGTAAAATTCAAATTTATAGGTACAGTAACCCTTTTATAATGGTTAGAGTATGAGTATTGTCCTTTTTCATGTTAGGATAAGGACGGGTTATAGGGAAATGGCTTTTATTTGAAGAACTTATTCTTTTACAACCATACGTAGTATCATGATTTCCATACATACGTCTTAATTTGCGTTTCGTTATCGTACTACTTCATAAAGCTGATAACACTTTCATATTCCATCCAATATCCCGTTCAGGTTTTATTAGCAACTTAAAAATCAACCGATTTTACAACAGTTGTTATTTGCTATTTGTCGTTTCCTCTAGCAAATTTAATCAGATATTATCTACTTATTAGATCGCATTTTTATATAGAATAAGTCTTGAAAAATCAATAAAAATTATCATTTAAAATGTGATACATGAAATATAAAAATTTAAACTCTAGGGATCAGAGACTCTACCAACTTATTGATAGGATTTTCATCGGAACAATCAAGCTCTTCTATATATTGATAACCTAATTCTAAGAGACTAGAAATACTTTCATGGTCATCTAATCCTACTGGCTCCTCAAAAAAGACTTGCCATCGTTGATAGCGATTTTTTAACATATTGCACATTTCACGATCCGTGTTACCTTCTTGTGCAGATATCATAAATTTGGGAAGATTTTGTGCCCAAAAAAGTAGATTTCTATATTTACCAGGGTTTTGAGGATCTGGTAAGTAGCATCCTGTACCTAGAGGGAGCACAGAGATCTTTTCCTGTGGCACACTATATCGGATAGCTTCAGTGTATGCAGTTGATGTTGGGTTATTAAGATGTATTCCTCCATCTATAAAAGTTTTACTACCGATTTTATGAGGTGGAAAAAATGTAGGTGCAGCTGTTGTTGCCATTAATATATCAACGTAAGTGCCATTTACTTCTTCATTCTTGCTATTTTTACGAGCATCGTAGCAGGTAAATAAATGCGGTATTATCGAGTAACTTTCATTTGCAGCAGGAATAACCAATTCAGTAAGAGAATTGCTTAATTTTGTTTCGTCGAAAAATCTTTTAAACATAGCATTACGACCTTCGTTTGTATACTTATCGTTTAAATTAAACCAATTAGGTAACCATGATGCTGGTTTGGTGAATAATTTTTCGGATTCGTTCTTGTAAATATTCAATAATTCCGAAGCTGAAAATATTGGAGTTGAATTTGAATATTTATATTCAATGAGTTTATCATTTATGTAGATAGGTTCGAACTTCGGTGCTGACAATCCAGCAGCAATTATCCCACCAGTCTATCATATTGAATAGGTGACAAATAGGTCTATGAGTGCGATATTCTATCTCGCTAAGCCACAAAGCAGGTAATACTCCACGTATTCCGCCACCATCAATTGATAGAATATTGTAGACCGGACTCTCATTACTGTGAGAATTTTTTAAATAATCTGTTTCGTATATTAATTCCTTTTTATAGCGGTTAATGTGGTGTTCAACTACATTATTTATATTCAATTTTTTGACAAGTTCTCTATGTTTACCGACCAGATGATTTCCAGGATCTAAATTTAGTGCCTCGGAATTGCATCTCATAGCTTCTGCTTACTTTGTTTGCTTTAAATAAGCTACACTGCGTAAATACCAATATTCTGACAAAGAATTTAATGCTGGGCATGTATCAGAAAGTTTGATAACTTGAGTGTATTTAGATAATTTTAGTAAGCATCTTGCATATCCGAGAGAATAAATCGGATTATCTGGGTTTATTTCACGTGCAATTTTATAGTTTTCTTGAGCAAATTGCCAATGGAATAAACTGTTTAACTTGTTAATTTTAGCTTCTTTTTCAGCCAAGTGTTCAAAGTAAATCGCTTTATAATATTTATTTTGATTGAAAGACTGTTGATTATTTAAATAACTAATATATTTATCATCCAATTCTGAAGCTGAATTCGTCTCAACTGAAGATGTATCGGTATCAGATAGAACTTCACTACTAATTATCCATAAGAAATCCTCCAAGACTTCTAAGCGTAATTTAGCTCTGCTAACAAATTGATGATTTTTGTCACGGAGTTACCTAAACTACCGTGTATTTGCGGGTCTTTACTTCCAAACTTCACTCGCTTGGCTAATTGCGTGATGACTGGCGTATCGTACCAGATACTACCACCACCAATACAATATCACTAAGATACAGTTTATTCACTAAGAACAGAGTTTATGGTTTAGACGTTTCTTTATTATTAAAGTCTCTTCTATTCTAAACTAACCTAATTATTAAAGACCATTGTTCTATTTATATTACATGATGTTCGATCATGCAACGCGTAAGTTACACGAACCCGATCCTGGTCCCGTGCTACCAAACACGTGTCAACCAAATCTACCGCGTCAATTTTCTCTTACAAATTTTCGAACTTCTTCAATAGTTTCTATTACCTCTTCATATGCATGTTCTATTATATTAAGAATTGCGATATTTATCCTTGCAATATTGCGCATTTCTTCTAATCTTGAAATAAAGGGCATTTCCATATAGCCTTGTAGGTAATTTAAAGCCAACCTTGTATGCTCTTTCGATAATAGAGTATCCTTAAATTTACCGTAAGCACCTTTAAAATATATCTCGTATATTAATTGACTGCGGAATTCGCTGGTGCATTTATCTAGTTCTTTCACCTCCTTCATTCAGTGCCAGTTGAAAAATTTTTTTGGCATCGGCTTTCAAAGCTGTATGTATAACACCTTCGATTTTTATTTTTCCACTACCTAAAACTTCCCCAAGCATAACAAGTAGATATACAATACCATCCGATCTGAAACTATACATTTTAAGCGTGTCTACTATGCTATCTATTCCTGTAATACCAATTTTATCGCGACAATTTAAGAGGCGTTTGTGATTCTTACTATCATATTCCTCAGAAAGCGCATTGATGAACTTTTGAAAATTTTTATCATCATATGCACTTAACGCTTTATTCATGATTTTATTGAGATTTTCTCGAATTGTGAACATCTCCTGACCTTTTTTAAACAGATCAAAACCATAATAACACCCAAAACCAACACAGGTTACTCCTGCTACTATCCCAAACGGCACACCCATAGTAGCAATACCAGTCACATACACCGCTTCGTAAATATTTGCACCGGCGGCCAATAATGTTAATGATCCTACTCCAGCTCCAACTACACTAGCTGCACCTCCTTTAAATTTATACGCAGTTGCATGCTCTTTTGCACGCAAAATTTCTTTATATGGTGTTTGATAACAAACCAAACTACTTTCTGCCTTAACAAATAATTTAGCAGCCGTATTGACTAATGTATTCTGAATAATCTCTCTATCATTGAAAGAGATTCCTTGATCATTTGTTCTTATTAGGGCCATTGCATTATTAAAGCCACTCTCTAATTTAATATCAGTACTTGAGTCGGCAGGCACACCATTTCATTCTCTTCTCTTCTATTTTTTTTGCTTCGTTTATCTCTTGTTGCGCAACATTATTTGAATTCATTAGTAAAAGCACTGCTGCTAAAGCATATAGCGGGGCTTCCAGAAATTTCTTTGTGAAATATAAACACAAAGCCATATATCCTCTCAATTTTACCTGCCTTTTTGGCAGTTTAGCTTTATCCGCAATTTTGCACGCTGCTCGAAATTGATGGTAAGCCAATTCTCCCATGTGCATGCTACGGTTTAATAACTCGGAAGAGGGCTCTTTTATATCGTCTTTCTTTAATGTTTTAGGTTGTTCCATTGTCCTTTTGATGCGTTATAATAGTCAATAGCAATTTTCCAAAGCTCATTTCCGCATTTTTCATGGTCTTCTAGTTCTAAGTTTTTTTTCAACTTATTCAATAAATTTTCTTTGAACCCTGAAATAAGTTTAAATAGTCCATCGCCTTGACTTTTATGTATTTTATAAAGGGCTAATGGACTTTTTGAATATTTGGTATTATCTGGATGAAAACATGAACTAAGAATTTTAGCACGTCTATTAATCTCTTCTTCTGTATTTACAACATTTTTAAATAAAATTTCTATTATATTTGAAGAATCTAATGAGAATGTAATAAATTCTATTCTTTTTGAATATGCTTCTGCATGTGCGTATAATTCTAAACATTTCAAATGGCCTATCAACTCTGTGCTAGCGTTTTTAATTTTTAAAGACTTATCTTTAAGTTCCTTACCATTGCAATTAATGATTAATCTGTCATTAATTAAGCTATCTGCTAATTTATTCATATAAATTTCGTAATTTATTGCCTCTAGATAACCTTCAAAGGTCTTAGTAATCCACTAAGTTTTTCAAATATCCGCTGTGTCTCATTAATAAATTTATCTGCTACATCAATTTCAACTAATTAATCTTTTAAAATTGAACGGATCTGGTTTAATTCTTCTAAAATTTCCGGCTTAAGATTACAATCTTGATTGATTTCATTTGATGCTGCAAAATCCAAATTCGCATACAATACGTATTGTGTTTCCTCAGTACAAATACCTGTATAACTTCTCGCTAATATCACTTGTCTATTGGCATTTTCCATATCATCAGTCGCTTCTAAATAGATATAGCCAGTAAATGATTGCATGTTTACATTTGAGATTTCAGGTGCATTGTCCCGAAAAACTTCATCCAGTTTACTTGAATCATTTTTTGAATTTGTGTCGTTGTTAGATTCAATTTTGTTATCTAAATAATAGGAAAAATTTTTCTTAACAAACTGCAATTAGATAAACCACAAATAATTGCGTGTAGATAATTATGATTATTGGATAATATTTGTGGCTCGCAAATATTGCCGTTGGATTCTAGATTAAAATATTCATGTTATTACATTATAATAAATGTCAATAATCATTTTTATAATATGAGATATGGTGGAATGCGTTAATTACCCTCATAGCATTCGCACGTATTTAGCGTGTTTTCAGTCAGTCCTTTTATTAAATAAATCCAATGAATCTTCATTATTTAGTTGTAATTGCACAATTTGTTGATTGCTCTTAGCATGTTTATTTATTATAAATTCTACAGCTGTTTCTTTTGACAAATTTTCAAGTTTTATCAAAATCTGATCCAGCGTTGGACGTTGATCAGGATCAGAAGACCAGGATTTCTCGATGAGATAAGCGTAATCTGATGGTGTATTGTCGATAATTTTCTCTCTTTTATTCTGCGAAATTTCCACGATTATAGCCGCACTGTGAAGACTATGATACGGAGGAATTCCATTTGTGAGTTCCCATAGCAACACTCCCAGACTATAAATGTCAGATTTTTCATTGCGGCTAACTTTATGGAGGAGGTATCGTGGATCAGTATATGCTACCATGCCTGTTGCACTTGAACTTGATTTGGTAGTATCATCTAATTGTTTCGATAATCCAAAGTCTGCAATTAAGGCCTTTCCATTATTCATTAAAATATTCTTGGAATGCTAGAGAAATTTTTTACAGTTAAGATTAGAATAAAGATTAAATTTTAAATTTAACATAAAAATCAAATTTTACCAGGTCACGATGGACGATGCCTTTAGTATGCAAATGTGTTAATCCAAGAGTAATTTCCTTTGCGATTTGGATGAGTTCAATCCATGAAATTTTATAAACGTTATTTCGCTGCTTTCTTTGTAAATGATCCCGTAAATTTCCTTCATTTGCAAATTGTAACACCAACATGAAATTATCTCTTCTTGAATCCGAATCTAATTTATCATTTATCATTTAGATATATATACAATAAATTTATTTAAATTTGGCTTTCATCGTACGCACTTACCTCTTGCAACTCCGTAGAATTCAATAACATTTGAATGAGAAATTTTATGCAAACTTTTAAGCTGTACATAAATTTATTGTATAGAAATTGTTAGCTTTGATGTTGAAAAACAAAATACAGAATTATGAAATTAATTAATTACCTCACGCTTGATTTGTTTTAATCTTTTTTCATCCAACCACAGGTTATTGTTTAGACATTTCAGAACATATTTCTTTTTTTGAAAAATGGTCGAGTACACTATTGCAGATCCTCCTTGCCCAATTATTTTTTTGTCACTAAATTGCGAATAATTAAAGATCTTTATCCCTTCACCTTTCAGATATGCTTCCAACTTCGAATAATCTACTACTAATTTTATGTAAACATTCATCATCAATATATTAGTTAAGTCATTATTAATGCGATAACTTACATTTTTTTTCTAGCATGTCTGTTTTATAAAAATCAAGAATTTTATCCGCCTTTATACTTATTTATCTGACGCTTGATTATATGTATAATAGGAAATTTTTTTCAAATACTGTAACTTATATCTGAGAACTCCGAAAAAAATAAGATGTTCCTTATGCATAAGAACGTATCACTGCATTTTTTTTATATAAACTAGCATATAATCATGTGGCCTAGTTTTAAAAACTGACTACTGTCTGTAGTGTTTGTAATCGACTTAAATTTATTGAATTGACTAAGCTGATATTTAAAAATAGGCTTAGCTGACTATACTAAGCTGATTGATTGTAGCATATAAAAAATTGGATGTATATTTGCCTTTTGTTGTTTGATGTTCTAGTTGTTCGAAATAATGCTTAATTGATATTAACAGTTATGCTCATCTACAATTAACATGAATAATGAAGTAATTGTAAAAAATAAATAATTTACCTACGAACTTAATGAACTTAAATAAATTGTATGAATTGAAAAAATTATTTATTTTGGTAAAGATAACCTTTTTGCTTACTAATTTTGGGATGTATATACTAACTAAAATACTGTATCTATAGTCAACTAAAACGTAAATAAAAAACTAATAACTAAAATAGGATAACATAAAAAATAGATAACTTAGCTACATCGTAGCTCTTTATAATGTATACTAATAGTATTGTTTGAAATCACAAGTTATTACCTTTAGTTCTAACCAACCAGATACTTTGGTATAGAAAGACGTGGTATTTTAAAAAATAATTGAAATACGAGTACTTTTAAAAAAGCTCAAAGTAAATTATTATGACCTTTTTATTAAAAAAAAAGATATAACTAAGATGAGATATATAAAACATATAAAAAGGAAATTTATTCTACTCAAACATGGGATGTTTTATAACTAAGGTAGGGATATGATATAACCAAGATACTATTGTATTGCCTCTTAGCAGTTAATCATTCATATTAATAATCAATTTAATTGTATTTTTAACCTCTTTCCTAGTTTTCGTTAACGTTAATTAGATAGTGCTTATCATTATATAGATCTACAAAATTACCAAACAGCTTTTCTTAAAACTCAAAGTCGTAATCTTACGCATGAATTATTTTTAAACCAGATAATAGCATTGCGAAAATCTCAACAAGAAATTTTATATATGATTTGAAAACAATTATTAAATAAAGTTTATACAATTTTATATTGCTTTCAAGAAATTAAGCTAAAACTTGTCTGTATTAAGTCCATTCAGATATCAGAAATTATTAATAAGCATTCAATAAACTTGTGAAAATTATAAATTATGAATTCGGCCACCTTTCTTATATCAAGCGTTACTTACAATACAACTTGTGATAAAAACAAATATATGAAGGTAATATTTGTTATCATCAGTTACATCATTGTAACTTCTGAAGCATAATCGGAATTATTTGAATTTAAATTATTTCTTTAGACTTGAACAGAACTAATAACTTTTCTTTAGATGTCAATGCGTCATTATATTCATCTACTAAATCATTTATATTTGGCTGATTTTCGTAAATTTAATTAGAATTAATAATCGTTTCATTTATTATTTGTTTAAATCTTTCATTGGATTTAAACAATTCTAATAAAATTTGTTCATTTTTTTGCCATTCTGTAAGCTTTTCTACAATTTTAGCTGCGGATGGACGTCTTTTTGGTTCTTTGTCCCAACATTGTTTCATTAAACTAATATAACACGTTTCTGTGTCTTCCAAAAGCGGCGGTCTTAATTCATCAAGTATTATATGCACTTGCAAGTACGATCCAAATACTTTGCTATAAAATGCAGGTATTGATATTCCATATAAAATTTCCCACATGACTATACCAAATGAGTAAATGTCTGATGCTGTAGTATATGATTTTTCAATCAAAGCTTCAGGAGCTATATATGGTAAAATTCCACAGATTTTATCTGAATCTATGTTAATCGATATCGAAAATCCTAAATCTGCAATATATGCACTACTTATACTTTCTTGTAAAATATTGCCACTATGTAAATCTCGGTGAATAAGTTTTTGTGAATGGATTGCTTGAAGATCAGAAGCAATATAATGCAATAATTTCACTTTATTTTTCCATTCCATTTGTGCTATAAAGGAAAGATTTTTACGTAAAGAACCCTCACATGCATATTCCATAACAATAACATAATCTTTAGAAATATGATGTCTTGATATACCATAACACCTTAAAAATGTTGGATTTTTATTGCCAATATCACAATATGCTTTTAGCTTTAGTATAAAATAACATGTAATTAATATATTATTGAATTTCAAACATGCTAGCACTTAACTTACTTCTTTTTCAAATTCTTCAGGATGTTCTTTCGAGTTATGAATCAATTTAAGTGCAACGGGTAGATCAAAATTTTTTGGTTTTGTTCTAACCAATTAGCAATATATACTGTTGCAAATCCACCTTGTCCTATCTTTTCGATATTTTTAAATTCATTATAAGGAATCAAAAATAAAGGATATTCGTTTTCAGTTAAGATTTTTTTTATAATATCATCAATATCTAAACCGTCATATACTATCTTATTAAGTGCTGAAGAAGGTAAACTGTTAAATTTAAATCATTTGGTAAATAATAAACATATTGAATAATAGTATTAACCTGATATTTGTTTTCGTTCCCTAAGCGGAGGTTTTAAAAAAAAAAAAAAATTATAGTTATAAAAAAAGGAATAAATCATAATAACAGTATCATAATAAGTATACATTATTGAGCAAAAATTTGTGAATAACAGCAATTTGGCTCAACCGGACAAATGATATTGGCTGTCAAGTGCCGCGAAGCGGCACTTGTCAGCCAATCATTTGTCCGGTTGAGCCAAATTGCCGTTATTCACAAATTTGCCTAATAATGGTGTTATCCAATAATTTATGATCATGATTGGTAGGGAGTCACTCGCTGAGTTTTTTTTTTTGAATATTGGAAAAACATAATTACATCGTAACACATGAAAAAAATAACAGAAAGAAAGTTTTTCATGATCATAAGAGTTTGTCGGATAACAGTAACTTACATGCGGTACCATTCATCGGCTTTTTGTAAGTCTCTTATTGTTCCAATTCCATTTCGATAGCAATACCCAACACGGCGTATTCCGATAATGTGACCCATCTCTGCTAATTTTTGACAATAAATAAATGCTTTATGTTCGTCCTTTTCTACTCCAATTCCATATTGATATAAGCTGCTAAGATTAAGCATTCCACCAGTATGACCCATTTCTGCGGATTTTTGATCATAAATGAACGCTCTATATTCATCTTTTTCAATTCCAATTCCATTCGCATAAAAAAATCTGACATTAAATGTCGCCTCATCATGACCCATCTCTGCAGATTTTTGATAATAAATAAATGCCTTATAATCATCCTTTTCAATTCCAATTCCTTTTCGATAACAATAACCAACTTTATATGTTCCTTCAATGTTTCCCATCTCTGCAGATTTTTGATAATAAATGAATGCTTTATATTGATCCTTTTCAACTCCAATTCCATCCAAATAACAGTTACCAAGTACAAATATTCCACTAGCATACTTCATTTCAGCAGATTTTTGATAATAAATGAATGCTTTACGTTCATCCTTTTCAATCCCAATTCCATTTTGATAACAATAACCTACCATATATGTTCCTTCAATGTTTCCAATCTCTGCAGATTTTTGATAATAAATGAATTCTTTACATTCATCCTTTTCAACATCAATTCCTTTTTCATAACAATAACCAACATTAAATGTTCTACTAACGCTACCCATATCATCAGATTTTTGATAATAAATGAATGCCTTATGTTCATCCTTCTCAACTTCAAATCCGATTTGGTAAAAATCTTCAAGTATAACTTTTCCATCAGAATTACTCATAGAAGAAGCTTTTTGACCAATACGAAACAAATCATAATTGTTTGGTAATCCATTTTGATCTGACATTTTTGACATGAAAATTAATAGTATTAACGTCAAAATACGTATATAAATAAATTTTGTGTATTCGCTATATACATATGTGCAACATTAAAAAATACGAGTATGTAACACAATTAAATTATATTTACTAAATTACTCTCTCCTTAGGTTTTTTTTTTAAAAAAATAATTACGTTTGCATAGGAACTTCGAGAAAGAGAACAATGATTTTGCCCACATTTTGGCCAACATGGTCATTACTGATAACAAAACAGTCAACGGCGTATTTCTACTTGATGGGGATTAAAGGCTTGGACTTTATTATACCTTAGCGTTAATGTTAGTACAAGTGGTAGATTTTTTACTTGTACAAATTTGTTTGTTAGGTAATACAATACTGCAATAAATAAATATACCGACATGTGTCGAAAATAAGGATTGGAATACACATGATTGGAAAATCGATCCTATGCCCTCGTCAATTTGAAGTTAGGTTTCGTCATTTGGATTTCAGGTTTGTCATTTTGATTTAGGGTTTGAGATTTTGTCATTCTGAATTTAGGTTCATCTTTCGCCAGAGATTTCATTTTGCGTAAAAGGTTTCGCCTAACAACTATATACCTAATAAATCATAAATATACGAGTTTCGTAATTTATTTGCAACGTTCATATAGCTTTCTAACGCAACCATCGAAGCTAGACAATAACAAGCTTTCCTTACAATGTTACATTACCCATATGTAGTAGCAAGTAACAATTTATCTATATATATGACACAGATGTAACAGACATTTACAGACAGACGTTTGCATTTTAATTATATGGAAGGTTATATCTATGCTAAATTTTATTACAAACTTAATTATAATTATATTATATGGAAGGTTGTATCTATGCTAAATTTTATTACAAACTTAACTATAATTATATTATATGGAAGGTTATATCTATGCTAAATTTTATTACAAACTTAATTATAAT